CCGATTGGTGACTGATTGATGCCTGATTTTTTACTTTTCGACCTGTGATATGATGTAGGGGTTTTGTGAAGGAAGCGAATAGTTTTAGCCACTTTGGACAAAAACTGGTAAGACTGACATAAACTTTACACAATGTGAAAGTGGGGGTTTAAGGACCGAAGGTTCAGCCCTCACTGAAACATTATGTGTACGGGTCACAGAACGTTAAAAACAATATCAATTTTTCTTATTATATTAGAAGAGCTTCTAGCAGTTCTAGAATCTTAATTTCGATATTATATTTCTTAATTCTGTATGGATTCTCCAACTTCAGAAAGCATATCGATTTTTATTATTATATTAGAAAAGCTTCTATCAACTCTAGAATCTTAATTTCTATATTAACTTTTCGTTATATTTATTAAACCATACGAAAAAATAATATATCAGGAAACCGTTCTATGCGAGTTAGCTCATTAAATAACATATTTTTATATTAAGTCATACGAAAAAAAAATAAATCATACAAAATTTCTGTCCCAATTCCCCATAATAAGTTATGCGAAAAAATCAGTCCCAACTTTTCCATAATAAATCATACGAAAAATATATCAGAAAAGGATTCTATGCAAGCTAGCTCCTTAACTAGCATATATTATTTTAAATCATATGGAAGAAATAAGTCATACGAAAAATTGTCCCAATTCTTCCCAGAATAAGTAATACGAAAAATTGTCCCAACTCTCCCAGAATAAGTCATACAAAACATGTATATTAGAAACAGTTTCTACGACACCTAGCAAAAATTTTTGTCCCAACTCTCCCAGGTCATCCGATCTTTAGAACACATGATCTGAAGGATCCAAGTTAGCACCATGGTAGCGACCTGGTAGTATCCTAGAGCTGTCATGGAACTGTCATGAAACTGTTATGGAACTGGTAGGGAGTCAGTGAGGTTCTATTAGTTTACCAGTTTCAGGCCAGCTTGAATGCTGAATTATTATGCCCAAACTTCTGGCCAGAATAATGCAGACTGAATTTATACTGCATCTTCAGTCCCAAAGCACTTCCCCGCTATTATCGAGCAACTATCAAGCAACTATCGAGGGTAAGGATGGTGCCGCAAATATGTAATTGCGGAATAATTGCGATTTACGGTATTGCGGAACATTGCGGATTTTTAAATCTAAAAATCCGCAAATCCGCAAATCCGCAATTATCCGCAATCCCGCAAATATTCCGCAAAAAAAACTTTCTTTTTTTTAATAAAATATAATTACTACTAAAAAAAAAAATATTTCTATTTATTATTAATAATAAAAGAAATTATTTTACATAAAAAAAAATTAAAAAAAATGCTGGAACCTATAGTTCCGGCGTTTTAATTAAAAAAAATTTAAAAGAAACTGCCGGAACCTATAGTTCCGGCGTTTTTACATAAAAAAAAATTAAAAGAAACCGCCGGAACTTATAGTTCCAGCGTTTTAATTAAAAAAAATTTAAAGAAAACGCCGGAACCTATAGTTCTG